GTCTAACTCTTGCCATAGTTCTTCACTAAAATATAGAACATCTCCTCTAGTAATCCCTTGCTGTGATGTTTTTCCTTTAAATGGTTCTTGGATATTTTACATTCCATTGCTTTGTCAACAATTACTGCATTTTTTTCCAGGATACTGTGCTTTATTAATTCCTTCATTTCTTTCATGGAAAACTGTTCAATTCAACAAATAGCCGACACTTTTTCTATTGATCCAACAGGCATGGTATAGGACATTAGACAGTAGAGTCAGAGAGGAACTCAGAGGACTCATCAAAAAAATATCTAATTTTTACTTTGGCAACATAATAATTATAACTTGGAGAAAGATAATTTGATTGTTTTCTAGGCTATAGAGGAAAAGAGTACAAACATAAAATCGATTCTCTAAATTTGGGAGGCTGGTCTGGCCTGTCTTGTAAGTAAGGTTTTTTTGGAGCACCACCTTGCTCATGCCCTTGCGTCTGGTCTGCTGTTTTGGGCTACAGACGTCAAATTGAGTCGCTGCAACAGATCATAAAGTTCACAAAGCCAAAAATCATCCTCTGCAGAAAAAATTTGTTAAGCCCTGTTTATGTCAGTAGAATTTTGATACGGTGTCCATAGGGGAAAAAAGGTCATTGAATTTTTAAAAGTAGGTTACATCCAGCCATCCCCAGCCAGTTACCCATTCCCTCCACCCACACAATGTCTCTCTTACCGTGTACTTCTTTTGTTTTGTCTCTATGGGACTAGAGATATCCAGCCTTTATCCCGCAGAGTAGTGCTGGGGGAATGATGAGTGCCAGTTTACTGTTTTGTAAAGTTTATTCTCTCCCTGCAACTTCCAGACCTCTTTTCCTATTCGAGGTAAGTTCAAGGGTCACCCTTCTCTTAACCAGTTGCTACTACCAGTTAGGAAAAGACTGACATCAGTGCTTCCCAACTAAATTTCTTCCTCAGTTGTTCTTCCAGTTTCTACATCCCCTTCTCTATTTCTTCACTCAGGAATTAAAAATTCTTTTTTTTTTTTTTTAAAGATTTATTTATTTATTTATACAAGCACTGGGTACAGTCAGAAGCGCGGGAGGGTGAGAGAATTCACCAGAGCCAGAGCGGGGAACAGAACAGGCAGAAGGACCGAAGTACACTGCTGAGGGGAGCAGCGGGCGGCAGGAGAGGTCTGCGCGCCATGCGGGACCCTCCTCCGGTGGCCGGGGAGCAGCCGGGGATCGAACCGACGCTGCAGAGGCTGCGGGCAGCTTCGCAACCCAGCGCTCAACCGCTGCGCCACCAGGGAGGCCCCAGGAATTAAAAATTCTTAATTCAGCTATCCTAGCTACCATTTTCCCTCCCTTGTTTTTTCAGGCCATGAGCAGTTGTTTGTTTTTTATACAGTTTAGTTTCCAAATATTTGAGGATTTTTTCATATACTTGCTGTTACTGAGTCCTAATTTGTTATTGTTGTAGAATAGACTTCAGAGACATGGGTGTTGTGAGTGAGGAATAAGTAGAGGGTAGACCATGCAGGTTCTCATAGCTGTGTTTCTCCGCTTCCAGTGGCTTTTATCATTGGGAGTGGATGGGGGAGGTGTGTGACTTTCAGAGTTTGCTTTCTGAAATATCTCTGCCTGCACTGTGGAAAATGATTGCTGTAGTACAAGAGTAAAAATGTACACCATTATGGTAGTCCAGTGAGAAGCGTGCTGCTGAAAAACAATGATTTACAGACTTAGTGTGCATCAGAAGGGCTTGTTAAAAAAAGGCATAGCAGGACTCCAACCATTTTGTTTTACTTGGTATGAGTGGGACACTTGTGATGCTGGTCCAGGGACCACACTTTGAGAACCATTGATATAGCATATTGTAGTGGTGGAAAGATTCTTTACTAATATGATCATGCTGTTATAAATATCCCCCTAAACATTACTTCAACTATATTTCACAAATTCTGATTTTTGTTGTGATTTCTTTATGGGTTATATTTGCTGTTACTGATTCCTAATTGGTTATTGTTGTATAATACACTTCATAGGGCTTTAATCCCTTTGAATTTACGGGGATTAGTTTTATGGTCCAGAATCTATCCAGATCTGTCTTCATGAAAGTTCTGAGTGTTGCTGAAAATAATAGATTCTGCTGCTGTTAGGTGGAACGTTCTATAAATGTCAGTTAATGAAGTTAATAGTATTGTTGACTCTTTGACATGCTTACTGAAGTTGAGTCTACTTGTCCTGCCTATACTTGAGGAATGGGTATTGAAAGCTGCAATTATGATTCTGGGTTTTTCTATTCATCTTTTAAGTCTGTCAAGTTTTAGTTCATGTATTTTGAAGCTGAGATTAGGTACATACATTTAGAATTTTTACGTGTTTTTAATTAGATGCTAGACATTGTCAATTTTTACATTATATGTTGGAGTTTTGTTTGTTTGTTTTTGCAATGAATGCCTTAAGTATTTGTATAATTTATTCCAGGAGGCCATTAACTTGTTGAGAAACTTTTTGATTTTTTTCATTTCTTGCTTTATGAGGCAAGCCTAAAGATAGTTGGTCTCAACTAATGCTGATTTTACCTTACAGAGTGTATTTGGCAATGTATGGAGATAATTTTGATTGTCATGCCCAGAGGGTGGTGACCAGGATATTCTAAATATTCTACAATGCATAAGACAACTCCCACAACAAAAAAAAATTGTCCCCAAATATCAGTGGTGCCAAGACTGAGAAACCTTGCTCTAGGGCAGATTTGCCCCCACTAGTGAACCATACCACTGCCCTTCTGAGGATTCCACTTAAAGCCACATGTGCTATATCTTTACATTCTTGCTTATGGGAACTCAAGTTATATCCAGTCCTGTCTACAACTCTAGGGGTTTTCCTCATAGTACTCTTCAGAGGTCCTTTTTACAGGTTTGGGGAACATTCATGCACTGGTCAAGTGTTTATAAACTTAAGGGGATGCCAGTGCAGACCTCTGACCTCTTATGTCTGCAGCTCCCTCTCTCTATTCTGCCCCACAGTTGTAGTCATCTTGGACTCTCAACTCCAATCTCCCTTCCAACTCAACAAGTTTCCTAAGTGATTTAGGAGCCCTGGGACCTCTTACCATACTGTAGCTTGGAAGCTCCAAGCAGTAAGCCAGCAAAGTTCAGGTGTTACTTTCTTTGTTTACCTTCTTTCAGGCATCACTATCATCCTGCACTTCTATTATCCATTGTCTAAAAAACATGATTTCACATTTTTTAAAGTAGTTTAAAGTGAGAGGGTAAATCTGATAACTATTACTTCATCATAGCCAGAAGAGAAGTCCCAGATTCATCTTTTCTAGAAATAATTAACCAGTTTCTATAGGCTATGTGCTGAAAATAAAATGCTGAACAAGACCAACAAGGATCTGTATTTTCATCAAGCTTTTATTTTAGTGGGATGGGGAAAAAGGTGAAATAGAAAATACAAGGCGGTAAATTCTGATAAAGAAGTTAAATGATAAGATAAGATTAGTTTTGAGGGGGAGCTACTTGAGGTTCAGTGCTCAGGAAAAGCCTTTCTAATAAAGCAATGCATAAGATGTAGGTGTCATTGATGACTGAAACCGAATATGGATGAGAAATCCTAATGAGAGTATGGAATTACAGAAAGCCTAAGACTCAGCCTTGAGAAATTCTGACAGTTAGCCAGGTAAAGTAGGATGAGTTGCAGTCGAAGGTAGAGGCAGAGGGAAGCCAATATTGCGTTTTATATTAAAAGCCAAGGAAAAGTTTTAAGTTTCAAGAAAGGGATTATCTTAGTTCTGGCCACTGTAACAAAATGCAACCTGCACAGCATAAATAACATAAACTTAATTTTCTCACAGTCCTGGAGCCCAGAAAATCTAAGATCAAGAGCTAGAGGATCTGATTGCTGGTGAAAGCTCTGTTGATGGGTTACCAATGGCCACTTTCTGTTCTCTCATTTCTTGTCTTAGAGGGACACTAATCACATCAGAGTAGGGCCCCACCCTATGACTTCATTTAACCTTATCTCCCAAAGGCTTTGTATCTCTTTACAGAGGAGGCTCTGTAGGGCTTCAACATAAGTGAAAGAGGAGACACCAACTCACTCCATACAAGAGGAAATGACCAGCAATGTTGAATGTAGTTAGGAAGCCCAAAAATTTGCAAATGAAACTTTACGCAAATTTCTTTATATTGGAAGCCCTTTCTTTATATTTCTGTTAGGTGGGTGTGTTGGTTAAAGAGCTGAGGAAACTCTGAGTGGAGTTCCCGCTGCAGTCACCACCAGAACTGGCCGATGGACTCATGGCAGCCCCTCATACAACTCAATCAATGCTTTACAGCAGGGTCCTCTGTATATACCTCCTGGAGCCCAGAAACCACCAAATTTAGAGTTCAGTGTTGTATCAGTGACTTGATTTTTATAATGTCTTACTGTATCAGAAAAAAACAAAACAAAACATGGCAATACACTTGACTACTTAATGAAAGGCCTTTCATCTAGTTGTGCACATTTAACAGCCTTTCATGATGACTGGATAGATTTGTGGAGACCTTAGGCTCACGGCTAGTGCTGGGCCATAATAGCTATTAGTAAAAGTTTACTCAGTTAACATTAGAAGACATCATTTTCGGAGGAAAAATAAACCAGTCATCCAGAATTTGAAGTTAAATAAAGAAGTGCAAACTCGATGGTTCCAGGTATAATAACTATTCAAATTTCAGATCCTGCAGCTGAGTCGAGTTTATCGGTGCAGACAGCTGACTTCTCCCTTTGAAGAGATGAACATGTGTCCTTTGAAACCCACCATCTAAAGAATGCTTTTGTGGTAGCTCTCAAAAACCTGTCACCCTTGTGCTCTGGCACTTTTTCCTTTTGTTATTTGAGAAATGGGAAGATAAAACTAGAGCTGCTCAGTTAGTTAAATGTGAAGAAATGTCATCCTCTAAATATGTAGCTCTCCTTAATTCAGGTATGTGGTCGCCCACTGGGATTCCTTTCTGTCTGAAACTTTTAGACTGGATACTTGTCATGTGTTAAGTATTCTGAAGAAATAGATAAACTGATGTTAATATGAAGGAAGATCATAATTGATGCACAGCCCAAGAGTTAGCATGCAGGAGAGGGTAGATCCCAAGCCCCGACGACTTCCACTATTTGGCATGTGACTTTGGGTAAGTCATTTTACTTCTCTGAGCCTCAGTGGGTGGTGGTTGGAATCAAGTGAGGAAATGTAAGAACTTTTAGCATAGTGTCTGGCTTATAACAATTGCTCTATATTTCCAGACCTGTCTTATCACACTAAAATGTGTCATTCCCTGTAATTTGGCTAGCTTACATTGTCAGACTTGTCTGTCAGCTTACAGTATGCCAGCACCATATTGTCTGCTGTGAGAAGTACAAGTTTAAACTAAAGCTAGATATATTAAAATTACCAGTAATCACTCATTTAAATCACAAATCTTAATTGCTTGGATTCCCATGACCCACAAGATTTTCATCATTTATACTTTCCAAGATATTCTATTCTATTCTATTTTCTAATATTTTGTGAGCTTTCAATCAGGTGGTTTAGAGAGGCTCTATCTCAGAGTAGATTGAATCTCTGATGAAATATTGAAAATATGCTTAGATAGTCCTTTCAAGTGCTTCTTGGCCTTGTTTAACCCTCACTGTCTAGGTCCCAGTTTGATAGAAATAAAAGCTGTCTTACTGCAAGCACCTCTCTTCCAGCTGCTTCCTTCTCACCAAAATATGCAAGTTAAACTAAGTCTTTGCATTTGTCTACAGCTCCATATGGTTTTAAAGCATATTAACTGGCTCTCATTAGATCATCAGAAATGTATAAGGTAAGCAGGGAAGATGTCATTTAACTTTTTTCCCCTTACAGATGAGAGGAAGGAAGGAGGCTGAGATTACTTGTCCAAGGTCACAGAGTTGACTATTGCCAGAACATGAACCCAACTCTTCCTATTCTCCCCTGCAGCTCCTTACTCGCCAGAGCACCACTGAACTTGCTGGTGCTGAGTGGATGTGGCTAGATAAGCCAGAATCAGATAAAATAGCTGCTGCTGTTGCGGCTTTTAAGTCATGACATAAAACAGGCCCCAAAATGAAAGAATGATGAACTGATGATACAAATAAATTTAGAATGGACTTATTACAAAATCACCATAAATCAGATACAACTAATAACTAGAGGGGGAGGAGAGTGGGTTATGAATCACATAAAACAAAGGATTAATCTTTGTTTTGCTCTTTTATAGCAGGTGAAGATTATTATTAGTTTTCTGTTGTATTCCTTTTTCTTTTAATCAGGTAATGTTGACTCACACATGAAAAAATGTTCACCGTCCCTTATTAGGGAAATGCAAATCAAGACCACAAGGAGTTAGTCTTAACCGTAGATTATCTCAATTGGCAAAGAACACATACGGGAAATACAAATAGCTTCTAAGACAGGAAAGTAAGTTTAACCTCCTTCATAAGAGAAATCAGAATTAAGCAATGGCATATCATTTCTTAGCTATCATCGTTGCAGAGATCCGTAAGTTATATTACACATTGTTGGTAAGAATGTGAAAGAATAAAGACATTTTCAGACATGGCTAAAGATAGTAATCTATGAGGGACACTTTAATAATTCCAAAATTTAAAACTTTTGAACCAGCTCTCCCATTCTTAGACCTCAATTCTATAGCTATTATTTGTGCTCATACTTAGAGACGCGTGTAAGATATTTAACGCATGATCGTTTAGGCAAAAGATTGGAATAGGCTTACCTAAAGTCTATCAGTTGAAGTCTGGTGAAATAAATTATGATATATCCACAGAGTGGAATTTGATGAGGCTGTTAGAATCAAGCACTTATTATAAAAATAGGAAACAACTCCAAAATACACTTATTTTAAAAAGATACAGAGCTGTGTGGGAGGAAAGGAGATAACAGCTGCATATCTGTCAAGGCAAAGATACAATCTGGCAGAAGACTCAAAAAATCGGTAACAGTAGCTCCTGGAGAGGCAGACTTCATTGTATAACATTTAGTGATTTTTAAAAATTTCGCAAATACCTATTTTAAAAATATACAAAAAGGGCGGGAAATTGTTTAAAAATCACATCAGGAAAAGCTGAGGAACATTTATTAACCTTTCTCTTGGTGTAAGTGTATAGATGATTCCATAAATTACTGGTAAGTCACCTTAGTCCAATTTCTAACTTCCAAGTATTTGCTAAAAACCCTAAATTGCAAAATCTTTGTAAATGTGCACTGTCTTCCTCTTTGTATTCCCAAAGTGCTTTCAAGTGGGTTCTTGGTAGATACCAAAATGGATTGTAAGTGTTGAGGTGCTGGATGGATCCAGGCTGGAGAGACCCACCTACTTCTGGTTAGGACACTGGAAAAGAGCAGCTTATTTTTCTGTTTGGATAAACCTTAGTTTCCCCATCTCTGAAAGCTGGGGAGGGCATCTCCGGAGGTGCCCCAGCTGCCATTGCAGTGCCTGGGGCTCTATCTAGCCTTCGTGAGGTGGCTGGAGTCCCAGGACCCTGCTGGCCAACAGTGCCTGGTTTTTAGTTGTGTATTTGAGTCAAGCATGTCTATTACTGCTAATGGTACCAGTTTAAAAAAAAAAAAACAAAAACGAATAATATATGTGTATGGTTTTGTGAACCCCTAGAGTTTGTGTCCAAATTTGGAGTTCAGAGTCTAGAAAAGTGAGCTTAAAAATCTCTTTAAACTATCCGAAGGAACAATAATGTCATTGTTCAAGTAATCTCTGATGTATACACCCTTGTCAAACAAATAGCAGACATAAAATAGAAAAAGATGTTTTTAATGACCATGGTTTGTTGTTCCCAGCCTTCATTTTTTTTTTTTTTTTTTTTGGAGTTGGAAGCCATCGTAATATCATTGTTACAACTTAGCTTTTCAAAATGGTAAACAGCAATTTTTTTTTGTTTTGTAAATATAAATGTTAACTAGCAGTGCATGGGGGAAGGAAAAGCATTATTCTTAATCTGAGTTTTGCTAACTTGAAAACAAAAACTATGTGATCTGTAAGACCATCAGTCTAACTATAGTAACCAATGTAGATATTTTTAAATTCAGTTAAGATTTCTGACATGAATGAGACTATTGTGCTTTGGATCTTGTTTGTCACAAAACAATGACTGGAGTGGATTAAGATGTGGTGTATGTACAAGATGGAATACTACTCAGCCGTGAAAAGATAAACTCTGACCATTTGTAGCAACATGGATAGAATTGGAGGGCATTGTGCTAAGTGAAATAACCCAGAAAAAGATAAGTATCCGATGGTTACTCACAAAAAAAACCCTAGAAATCTTACTGTGGAAATTATTTATTTTAAATTTATTTGTATTATTCACATCTTTGTTTTGGCTTTTTAAAGTGATTCACAACATTTGATGAGTCTTTTAGCTGCCATCGTTTGTCGCTGTTTCATCTGTTTATACCTATCAGTGGATTGTTTCCCTGGGGAGAAGAGAGAGCATGAGAGCATTAAAATGTGATCTAACAGGTTAACTTTGTGTTTGAACAGCAAGAGTTTTGTTGCAATAAGGAAGGGTCAGAAAAATACTACACGGAAGTCTTCAGGATGCTGCTATGTAGCAACTCTGACAAGTCACTTAAGTTCTAGACAGTTGTTTCCTCTTTATTAATGAGAATTAGTGACTGTAGTTGGAAAGAGCTTGAGAATGATGTATTAACTAGTCAGTTAAGTGTCAAATGAGTAAATGTATAGCGAGCTATTTAATGGTTTTAATAACATAAGGATTTCCATCTGAGGATGTGAATTATAAATATTAGCTGAGGCTCGGGATTCCATGTGCAGTATGGAGTGGCCCCTCAGGACTATCAGATTTCTGTGAATCAAAAAACGCTAGAGTAGCGTTCTGTGTCAGATATTTCATTGTATGTGATTTTTACAAATGTTTATGAAACTTTTGAGCAGCTGTGTATTCAGGACTTTGCTTATCTCTGTAAAGAATGTTAACATGCTTCATGCTGTAAAAGGCTATCAGACATGAAACAGTAGTGGAGAACCCCAAATAATTTACAAGTGCAGTTAAGTTTTACTGAGTACAAAGATTACATTCAGAGATGTCATAGGATTTGCGCCAGGCTTTGAAGAATGCAGGGGCAAGTTTCTTAGGTGGGAGCAGGTGGGATTGTGTTCCATGAGGTTGTGAAATAGACTCCAGTCTGCCCAACAGAGGGTATGCATTAGGAAATAATGTTGACTAGAAATCAGGCCAACCTAATATAAATCCAAGTAGGCCAACTTTTCCATCAATGTAAAATTCTTTGAAACAGGCAGAGTATCCTGTGGACTCCTCAGGTGTCTGAAGAGCTGGCCACCACATAGTCTGGACAACTTGAGACTTCCCACCAAACCAGAACTATTTTTCTATTCCTAGTGATTGTTAGCCTCATCAGAGCTAGCAGGCAAGCTGAAGTGAACGAGCAAGGGCTGTATTCCAGTTTCAGTTGGGTTACTGTACCTCAGCCATACTTACACTTAATGGAGACTTTGTAAGTGTATCAACCTTGCTTAGCTATGAAATTTGACTGAGAGCATCCATGGGAATGTGCCTAGGACATGACAGCATTCAAGTAGTTAACTCCTTCTTGTCTCCTGGGAGGTTAAAGGACGAGTTAAAAAGGAATGACTCATGCCAGGCTCACCCGGTTAATGTTTCTGATATACTGTTGAAATCCGTATAAGCAGTGGGTTTTGTCCCATGGTATGAGAGACATGTCAGGCACCACGCTCTTGCACGTTACTGTTTTCAGTAAGGAGGTGGGAGCTAAACAACTCTTGTGCTTTCAGAATGAGAAGTGCTCTGTCTACTCCAATGTTTAGAGGGCCAAAACGATAAAACTTGTATTTTTCTTTTACCAGGTTGGTAATTTCTTTGAAAGTAAAACTAAAATGCTTTATGATTTCTTTTCCAGCATGCTCCAAATGAAAACTGATGAGAAACTGAATTTGTCTGATGGGAACACAGCAAGTTGTCCTTTGAGTCCCATTAAGATGTGCCTTAATCGTCCCATTGAATGGAATCTGACAGCAGCAGCTCTAGCGAGCTGTCCAGTTCATGACCAAAATCTCAAAAGTGAAGAGAAATAGATTGCAGCTCTTCTTGCACTATCCTTATTTTGTACATCAATATTCTTTCTGCTGAATAATGAGCATTTATCAATTGATCTTGAAATATTTCTAGTCCTGTGACTTGTCTTTATATTAAATCATTAGCATTAATCATTTTAATTAGATTCTTTGTATGTTTTTTTACATGTTTTACACCAGATCATTGTGGAATTTTGCAGTACAAATGGATTTTGATGTTTCTCTTTTTAATGGTATTTTGTGAATTTTTTATTCCTTAAGTTTAAATACACTATTGTCCCGAAATTTATTTCTGTGCACAAAGTTTTAATATATAATGCGTTAGTGATTTAGGTTAATATTGTAAAGATTTGTGATGATGACCTGACCCATGAACAGTTGTACAACAGGTGGATACCAACTACCTCGATGCAAATTAGCAAAAGGCAAAGGTATCTCTTGGAAGTATCTTTCAAAGTTATATATGTATAGAAAAATTGATCATAGTTTATCAAGTAGCATGTTCCATTCATAGGAGAATTTGAGCTGCTCAGTTCTCTTTTTCTGTACTTTTAAGCCTATAAAGTCTGGATTATAAGAGCAATGGCACAATTGCATGTTTACTCCTTAGCAAATCTGTGCCTCTTACAGACAAGAATACTGTTTGGTTTCTGTAAGTTACCAGTTTGAATGAAGTAATGTAAATGGATTTA